TTCCGTATATCTCACGACGAGCGTCGACTGTAGATCAGAAGAAAAATGTCACACCTTGGTATGGTCTTCAAATCTTCGAGTAGTACGACCTGCTGCCAAATCCCAAAGACGAAGAGTCTTGTCCCATGAACCAGACAGGGCATAATTACCGTCAGATGATAAAACTACGTCACTAATAAAATGTGAATGACCATACAAGCGTTTCTGAGGAATACCGTAATTGGCTTCATCACGTGTTAACTTCCATACTATCAAAGTTTTATCTACAAACAAAATTGTAAACTTGGGATAACCATTTTTTATGCTATATACAATAAAAATAAATAAAGTATACTTTTGAAATAAAAATTCCAAGTACACGTGAGTAGAAAGTAAAATAATATGCGTATGCACAAAAACTATTTTCAAAAGAAACAGAACTTTATTAACATGAAATAAATAATACTGTAACATTCAATATAATGCATATTTACAGACAAATAATAAAATAAAATGACTATATGTTATTACACTTACCACGTGAAGAAGACAATATCATATCCGGATATTTCGGATTTGTAGCGATTTGGGTGACCCATCCATTGTGTCCGCGAAGTGTACCTCTTAATTGAAGAGTTTCAGTCATCTTATAATTACTTTAAAATATTTTGCGTTATGGATTGAAACAGATTTTAACCCACGGTCCACATTCAACAAAGCGTTGAACGAAAAGAATGATGTACCTCCCCTTTTCAAACAAGTATACGGTCACTGTTTATGTAGTAATAGATAAGCAACTTCTATATGTAAAATGTACACTTACATTATATATACACCTTATTGGTCTATTGGAAAACACAATATTGTAGCGACCGCTACATGGAAAGGCGCATATAAACGTCGATAACAGTGCACTCTTGTAGCCAGCAATAAATGCCTCCTGTGGATGCTGACAACAGCGCACCCTATAACAGTGCATATCATGGTTACGCAGATTTTTTCCCGCCTTTGGAATACTAGGAAGAAAATAAAACAACGGAAAAGAAGAACAGTTCTAGAACAAAGAGAACGAGGACTTGCAGCAGTTCATTGACGTCCAGAGAATTCATACAGAGTCTATTTATTGTTATTTGTTACTTAGCCTATTTATTGTTATTTGTTTGCTTGAAAAATATATGGTTATTGTTAAAACCTGCTTCCACGTGTTCTATGTCTAGCCAGATTAAATAAACCTCCTAGTAAACAACGCTACAATATTAGGTGCATGATGATATTTCAAACGATCCAACATTAACTTCTAAACGTTTCAAAATGTACTTAAATAAGAATTATAATTTAAACACATGAAAAGTGGAACGAGCAAATTAAAAATTTAAAAGATTTCGATGAGACATCTGATGACCACAGTTCGAATCACTCAAATGGGGACTTTGGAAGATTCGGAAATTACCGACCTGCGAAGAAACCCAGGGACATTACACTAAACAGTTCAACTAGTAACTAGAATAGAACCTCATAATTATATATTATGTGAAAATCAGCTTTGTAGCACTGATTATGTTATTGAGGTTATGTTTATTAAAGAATGATAGAATTTGAAACAAATAACTGATTATAAATTTAGTAAAAATTACCGTCATAGAAAAGTATACGAACGCATAAATAAAATTATAAAATCTGCAAAACAATGGCTGGTAAACAAGGAAGAGATTTAGCATTGTCAATGTTACGAACTTTACCACGAGTATGTTTAAATAATATTCGAGATAATCCTGGTGCAAGAAAGCCTGTAAGTATTATTACTGTAATAGTATTCTATGCTTTAGTGTACTGCTTTGGTATAAAGGTATATGATTTTTAATAATAATATTTTCTCTAAATATGTGACAATTGGATTGTAATAATTATTTTAAATATTATATTTTTTTTACAAGACAAAACGTGGTCGAGGTCAACATGGTGGAAACCAACATGGAACTAGCAAAAAGGGTTCAGGTCATAGGCAAAATTTTATGCGCCCAGGGTATGAAACTGGAAATAATCCATTTTATCTCAGATTTAGTCGGGAACCATATTACAAAGGACATCAGTAAGTTATTCATATTTTTTCTCTTAACTTAATGTCAGTAATGTGATAAAAACTTAAATGTTTTATCTCTGAAAAAATATCCCTTGAATACTGATTAATTTTTATTATTATCATTTATTGTTTTTATTTTTAATTATTTTGCATCTTGTTTATTGACTTGTAGATAAAATTTAATAGTATAAATAAAGCTTTAATCATCAAGAAAAATAATGTACAAGATACAATGGTGATAATCATTTTTGTACATGTTGCAGTTTAAGAAGAGAGTATCCACCTTTATCTTTACAACAATTGCAAATGTTCATTGACACAAATAGAATAGATTCATTGAAACCTATTGATCTTGTATCTTTAATTAATACAGGATTATATAATATTAAATTAGAATGGAAACATGCAGGTGTTCATCTTACAGATGAGGTATATTATCCCCATTTACCTTTATCATTTACCTTTATTATTTTATTATCGCTATCCTCACCAATTCTTGGAACTTATTACATATCTAAAATAAAGAAACGTATCAGGTATCGGTTTATCACTTGCCCTCAATGAAGAAGAAACATTCAGGACTTTCAAAAACTGTACTTTCCTTAATAGCTGGTCAGATATGGTCCTGAGCCATAGCCAGCTAACAGAGCACTTCTGTATTTTCTATTGTTATAAAAAATTATCAAATATTTTTTTATGTAAGAGTGTATTTGTAACTTATTTAAAATCTTTTTTTAGGGAGCTGATAATTTTAAAGCAAAAGTGAATATAGAGGTTCAATGGGCCAGTGAACCTGTCATTGCAGCAATTGAAAAAAATGGTGGTACTATTACTACTGCATATTACGATTCTCATTGCTTATATGCAGTAAAAGATGTAACTAAATTTTTCAGTACAGGTAATTTTTCTAAGTAAATTGAAGATCAATAGTATTCAATAATGTTATACTTAAAACTTTGTTATTATTATGTAGGTGAACCAATACCACGAAGACTGTTACCACCAACAGACTGCTTAGAATATTATACAAGTGCAGCAACAAGAGGATATTTAGCAAATCCTGAGGAGATTTCTTATGAACGATTGGTTTTGGCTCAGAAATACGGTTATGAATTATCAAAGATTGAAGATGATCCCGATTATGAAATGCTCATAAAACGTAAAGATCCCAGACAATTGTTTTATGGTCTTGCACCTGGTTGGGTTGTTAGTCTTAAAGATAAAGCAATTTTTAAACCCAAAGCTGAATATCTTAAGGAATTTTACTCAAGTTAAAATATTTTCTTGTAGAATATGAATTTAATAAATAAATAACTTATGAGAATAATATACAAAATCAAAAAAGTTGATTTTTTTTACTTTAGAATCAGAACCAGTTTTAACGTTCAATTAAATAATTGAATTCCACAATTTTTTTCATTATAGCTTGATCAAACTATGTATAATGAGTCAAAATTGTTTTAAAGTACAATCAATGAAGAGAAAAACAAAAATTTCATATTAATCGTTCCACTCTACTAATTACTAAATGGGCTATTATTATTTAAGGAGTCTAAAAATTAGTTCAAAGTTCAATTTTAAATAGCATAAAATATACATAAAGATGTAGACCAAAACGATCTTGTCAATTAAGCATTATCATTCATTTTTTTAGACTTCAAATTTTTTTAAAGGTATACTTTTTGTAATGCAACGAT